CTTTTATATTGTATTATACCCACTCAATTATAATTATAATTATAAGAAACCCGCCCAAACTCATTACTTTTTTATGTGGGTAAAAATCTAATTCGCCCAAACGCATGATGACCCATTTAGTTGTGTGTAATTCTTAATACTGATCACGTTTTATAGGGGCATCATAGTGACCAGTGTCAATGTACGTCTGTCATTTTACCTACTCGCATGCACAAGTCACCATATTATATTATTGCCTTATAAAATATTTAAATGACAAACATTTTTTTACAAAAAATACTGCCAGTGACTTCAATCACTACGCTCAGTAGGATGTTCCGATTTAAATTTTGAAAGCAGATTTGAATTTAAATTGTCAATGCATAAATAATTTAGTGACGAATTCAAATCTGCTTTCAATTAATATGAGAACATTATATGGGGCGTAGTGATTGAAGTCGTAAGCAATGTTTTCGACCCAAAATGAAACACGCTCCAGCCCCTTAACGTATAGGTAGGTACTCTTGTATGTTTATCGCACCACGTGATCCGCACACCAACATCGACACTAGTAATAAGTAATAAGACCTAGTATAATAACTAATAAGTTGTCTAATAGAATAGATTCTGAGCGAAAGAATGCATGTATTGATTTTACAATAATGATGTGTTTTTTTGTGTCTGACGTCTTGTACCTATCACCTTTACTGTTTACTGTTTAGGGGTAGTTAAAATGTTTCAATTGTCTAGTATCTTCTCTGGTGGAAAATTGAATCTAGTTCGATTCAAAGTAATCATCAAAAGAATCGGAAATAACAAAAAAAATTTAAGGAAAAATGAGAATCGTAACGCAAATCCAGTTTTTGACAAAATCTACTTTTTTTTCTTGTTATAATAGGTGTAATTCAAAGACAAATATCCGTACGCAATACTTGACATTTTTATCATATGCTTATATTAGCATAAAGAACATTTTTCAAAATAACTTGGAGCATTTTGAAAAAATTTGAAAAATCAATAAAAAATTTTAAATTTTAAAATCAAAGTTCTTGAGAGTGTACCTAATACAAGATTCCTCAATATGTTTTTCAAATACCATTTAATAAATATCGATAATAAACTGTCACAATAAATTTTATAAGCGTTTAAACTTAAAATGTTGACATAATTCATCAAAACCGTGAAATCAATCAATTTTGAAAATATTTTGACTCGTTTTGAGCTGTTTACAGACATTGTCAGTTTTTAATTTTTTAGTTTTTTTTTCTTATTTTAATTTTCTATAATATTGTCAATAACATTTTATTTGTGGGGTAGGGTAAAAATGCATAAAAATGTAATTGTATTACAAGGCCATTGATATATTGCAATAATAGCAGTTGAAATATTAAAAAGGTGGGCAAGTGGGTGTCGCTCTGCTGTACAGTAGGTTACAAGTGGGTCACTGTATAATGGATGGTATTAAATTTGAATTCAATGATATAATATCATTGTATAAGAAAAACGATTCTGAGTGGTGACGGTATGTCAGTCTATGTATAAGACATATTATATACATATCTATGGTATTAAACAAAAAATTGACCTACAATAGGTAGCAAATAGGTTAACATTTTTCACTAACTTATTATAAAATATACAAGTCATTATATAGCGCCAATATCTTCCTAACCCATTATCATAGACATATTAAAAACTAAGAAACTACACGTTCGATTTAAATTTAGATGGATACATCAACATTTTCAAAAAAGCCATTCTGATTAATAATATTATAAAGTAAAAATGATAAATTCTCATTTGAGATATACCTTGAATCTTGATTTAAAAAATATATTTAAAAACAGGATTTGAATAAATATTCATTATTAAAATTTAAAGGAAAATTTTAAAATATAGGTGCGAGAATGCTTGGTTAATTGCCCTGTATATCAATATAATGTAATTTTGGTGCAAATTTTATTAACTTCTTAGATATTAAAAAAAGTGGGCAAGTGGGTGTCGCTCTGCTGTACAGTAGGTTACAAGTGGGTCACTGTATAAAGGATTAAATTTGAATTCAACGATATAATATAATTGTATAAGAAAAAAGATTCTGAGCGGAGACGGTATGTCAGTCTAGGTATAAGACATATTATATACATATCTATAGTACTAAACAAAAAATTGACCTACAATAGCCAATAGGTACCTATAATAAATTCCAAATTAATCATATCACAATATCCATTAGGTACTTATAACGCGTTATACATCAACAAAAACCGTGGTACTATCATAGATATATAATAGTACACTTTAGAAGTTTGAAGTACCCACGAATAATATTATTCAATCACAACAAAATAACTAAAATAGTTATTCTAGGTTTTTTAATATGTAATTTCGTCCAAATTTGAATTTAAAATGTCTGTAAAAATAACTGTGTTCATATATTTTTTAGATTTTTTGGTTATAGTATGAACTATTTATGAGAACCTTTGTTTTAAATTTGCAATCCTTAGCTATAAAAACTGAACATTTTATAATTTATTAATTACAATGATTGATAATTTTCGAGATTTTGATAAATTTTGTCAAAATTCGATCTTTAAATGCTTATAAAAGAAAACTGTGCCTATGTATTTTTAATATTTTTCAATTGATATTGTAACAATATATCAGGAGCCTTGTATTAAATTTTTACACTTTTTGGCCCAACAGATAAAACTTTATTGATATTTATAGAAAAAAAAACGAAAAAAAATTGAAAGCTGTAAATGTCCATAAACCGCCCAAAAAGAGTCAAAATATTTTCAAAATTGTATGGTGTATAGAAAATGCTAATTTAAACATTCAGTGAAATTTTCATGTATCTACAGTTGTTCGTTTTTGAATTGCAACAAAATAAAGAATTCGCTACATGAGTAATCGAGTGAATATCCAATGTTGTAAAAATTTGAATTTCAAACGCTCATAAAAATTTAATTTGACTGTCCGGTAGAGATTTTTTTATTGATAAAGGTAGATAATCTTATAAGGAATCTTGTGTTTCATTTTCAAATATTAGATTTAAAAAGAAAAATTTTTACGAATTCTTAACTCAAAATAATTTGCTAATTTTCGTGATTTTTCCATATTTTGTCAATTTTTGAACTTTAAATGCTTATAAAAAAAAATTGTGACTAAGGATTTTTAATATTTTTCATCTGCCTTTGAAACAATATATTAGGAGCCTTCTATTAAATTTTCAAGCTTTTGCAAAAAACAAATAAAATTTTATTGATATTTTTAGAAAAAAAACTAAAAAAAAATGGAAAATGAAAATGTCCCTAAACAGTTCAAAATAAATCAAAATATTTTGAAAATGTTATCGTGTATAGAAAATTCAAATATAAAAAACCAGTGAACATTTCATGTATAGACGTTCATTTGTTTTAGAGTTACACCAATAACCAAAATCGATTTTTTGGAAAACCAATTTTGCATAAAAATTCCCGTTTTTCCTTAATTTTTATGTTGTTTTTCCCGGCGCTTGTGAAAACTACTGGGAAATTTATACTTTTGACCCCCCAAAGTACCAACTAGATTCACTTTCCTATCAGAAAAGCTACTGATGAAGAAAATCCAAGCACTTTTACTGTCCTAAAACGTGATGACAGACACAAAAAAAAATTAAAAAATTAAAAAATAAAAAAATATAAAAACACACATCATTGTAAAACCAATACATTCATCGCTCCTCTCAGAATCTAAAATACATACCTAGGAAAATTTTTTTTTATAACCATTTAAAGATCAAATTTTGACAAAATCTATCAAATTTAAAATTGAATAACTATTTTGTAGTTAAAATTTATAAAATGTTCAACTATTATATTTAAGGATTGAAAATTTAAGACCACGTAAATAGGTTATAGGTAGTTATATAAATTACTTTATTCACAATAATATCATCAAATATAGTTAGTTATATCATAGGCTGACTGACCGCCTACGCTCAAATTCGTTTTTCTTATACAGTGATATTATATCATTGAATTCAAATTTAACACCATCCATTACAGTGACCCACTTGTACACCCACTTCTCCACCTTTTTAATTATACTTTTATGGGAATTCAATGACCATAATAAATTTAATAAAAAGTTTTTATTGAATATTATGGCACGCTCATTGTTTAAAGAAGTGTAAAGAGATATTTAAATTTTAAATTAAGTGTACCTATAGTTTATTTTCTCCATACCACGGTTATCTACTCTAGTAGATAACCGTGCTCCATACTTATATTGTAGTTATATTTTTAATATTGAGTGAAGAACTAGCTACGTATAATTATATTATGCATATCATACTTCATAAAAACCAATAAAATTAAAACAAGATAGGTAATACAAATGGTTTATTTTTGGATTATTCATTACAGGTCAGTTGTATTAACTTGTCTGCCGTAAACCAGAGAGCCTAGTTTGAAGACCCCCTGTAATACAAGAACTGCTATGTTTGTGTATTTTAGCAAGTAATGTTGAACATAAAAAAACCTAATTCCATAATGCTATCACAATAGTAATAGTGGTTTTGTTTTCACTTTTTAGTCATGATTACTTGAATATCAATGTAAAATAAATTATATTCAACATTTTAAATGTTAATTCTAACACCAAACAGAAATTTATTTGTATATATTTAAATATAATGCAACCCACAAAACAATTCATTGTTATTGTTTTTAATAGATTCCTTTATTAAGTTTTATTAAGGAGATAATATCTTATAAGGGATAGTTAGTTTACATTTTCAAATGATATATAAACTGATAAAATTAGTCAATATTATTTGAATCCATAACTAAATATGATATAAAATTTTTAAATAAAAATTAATTTTATAAATACATATTCAGGAAATAAAAAATTAAATAGTAAATATTTGAACAACATATTACAATTTTACATTTATTAACATTATTTGTGAAATTGATTTATTTATTTTAATACATAATTATTAAAACCAAAACAAATTATTATACTTAATTATCACATTATTGCGTTGTTTGAGAATCATTTGTATTTTTAAGTCTTCTGAATGGCACTATATGAGGCTCTGCAACAAAATAATAAGGTTATATAAAATGTGTATATACCTAGTAATACTATTTGATTTTTTTTAAACATGGTCAACATTAGTAATCTTGCAGTCTTTAAGATATTTAAATGTAGGTAGGAAATAAAAGAAACAAACATATTGTTAGTATTTTTATTCAATATTTGGATTTTTTGGAGTCCAGATTTTATTGTTTAAAATGACGTTGTACTCACACGTATTGTCTGTATCCTACACATTTACAATATAAAAAATGTTCATTCACTAGTTTCAACAATGTGCTGTTAGTTTTGATATTAGACTTAATATTGACCTATTATTAAACTTTTAGGTAAGAACATTATCTGTGTTCTCAATTAGGTTTTTTACGATAATTTAATTTTAAGTGAAGTATGAGTATTTTCAAATATTAGTATTTTACAAATTCATAATTCACTTAAAAATTTTAATATTGTAAAAACCTACGTGAAAACACAAATAATGTTCAAACTAAATATTAAAAGTTTGATAATAGGTTCACTCTAATAGACTAATATCAAAACTAACAACACACCATTGAAACTGGTGAACGAAAATTGTCTATATCGTACGTATGTAAGACGGATACAACACATGTAAGTGTGACGTCCTCTTAATAGTATGTATAGTTTGATGGTAGTAAGAAATGTCCACAATTTGTTTAACTGAGAAAACATAAAGGAAAATATAAAATATAAATGCATAATAATTAATAGGTATTATTTAGTGGTAAAGTCATATTATAAGAGGTTTTTTTTAATTAGGTCAAAATTAGAAAGTGTAATATTAGTAACATATTTTAGTAAGCCTATAAGGTAAATATTTTAAATGAATTCATACTATATACAATTTTTTTTTTAAAAAGGATGAAAATAAAATATATCTGATACCTATATTATTATCATATTACGTAAAATTTTGAATTATATTATTGTACATTTATGTCTTATTTATTAAAAACAAATAAAATCAATAATCATGCATACCTGGGTCATATCTCATGTAATGCATCCAGCCAGATGTCATTTGAATGCCAAGATTTCGCCACTCAGTTTCAGTCATTAAATGAGTCTTAGGTACGTGTTTGGCCATGTCGTCTGGTAAGATTACGTGCCTATCATAAATATTGTCAAAGTCAATGGTTATTTATACACGAATTGATTCAAAAACAGTTAAAGATTATGTTGCATTAATTTCACATACCTGTAAATATACATATTGTCTTCATATTTTGTTGAATATTGTATGTCTCCTCTAGGCATGTTGGCTGACAATTATTGAAATGTAGTTGAGAGTCACAAAAGTGTTGAGAAATTAGAATATATATTATATTATGATAACTCCTATATAAATATATAATAGATCAGGATATATTTTTGCAAAAAAAATTTCAGTATTATAGCACTAAAAAAACTATCACAACAATTAATTTAAGTATATATACAACATAACGAACATTTTGGCGGCAAAATCAATAATAAAAAATTAAACACACCCCCGGAACTGATAATAACTGAACACGTGTTGTTATTATGGTAGTTCGTGTATCACACTTATGAAAAATTGATAGTATTATCAGATATTTTAAAAATGAATAATTAATTTACTTATGAATTATGATTTATGATCTAAGAATTAAGATTATGTTGAACTGTTGAAGGTATGAAGCTGAAGTTCAAACTTCAACCTTACCACAGAACAAATTGACCTTACTAATATTATATTAATTATTAAAAGGTGTCATTTAGGTTGGTTAATTTTTAATCTCTATCAATAATATTATGGTCATGTTACGTTTATTTTGTACTAAACCGATCAATTTGTCAACACTACGTTCCTTTATTACTAGGTAAGTAAATTACAATTTGAAAGTTTCAACTAGAGTTGGGATTTATATCTATACAATATTAATAGATAATGTCGATTGTTTTACTAATAAAAATGTGTTCATTAAAGATGTTTTTATAAAATTAATATTAACTATTAAGTATATTATATAAGCAGGGGTTAAAGTGGGGGGACGCAGGAGGACTCAGTCCCCTTACCTCTGAAGGCGGTTATAAAGCGTCCCCTTTAACAAATTATAATTTTATACATTAGACATTATACATAAAAAATTATATATGGAAAGCTTAAAACTATATGGAGACATTAGTCCCCTCTAGAATTTTTCCCACTTTAACCCCTGTATATAAGTAGTACTAATAAATAAAATACTGATAGATAATTCAATTAATGTACAATTGATTTACAAATTACAATTTATACTAAAATTGTTGGCCAACCTTATTGTACATTTTATGTTTTGGTTCAGGTAAAGTAAGACATACGTCATATGTAAAATATTGGCACTTATCCTGTACCTAACTGAACAAATTACTAATCCATCGCTTCAAAGCCAGTCAACAGTTAATTATTTTTTAGTTTAATAAATTCTTGAATTTTATTTTATTTGACTTAGCATTCTAATATTTCAAGGGTATTCTAGGTATATAATTACTTAATTTATTAAAATATTTCATTTTATGTTATGTTGTGTTATAGACAACCAACTAGGAGTTATTCATCCCTCACCAAAAATGCCGCAAGTAAAAAACCAATTCCAGTATCGTCAATCAATCTAAGTAAATTGAAACCAAGATGGATGCTTGTTGGATGTGTAGGATATATTGGATGCAGATATTTACTCAACGGAAGTAACATAGTCCATTGTCAACATATAGAACTAGAACCAACATCTGACAACCATTTTGATTGGAATAAGTTATTGTCTTATTTGTCACCAGATGTATTTAATTTAATAGCGGCTATTGCTGTAAGTATATTAATTAGGTAGTAATCACCATAGATATTTAATAAAAGAGACTGTTGCAACATTTGTATGCTTAGTTATATTTCTTGTATAAGTGTAATAAATTATAATAGCCACATACTTAAGGATCCTTAAGTTTTTTAACGATTTATACATTTTCAGACTGCATTCATTGTAGCTCTATGCAATTTAAGTATTCCAATCAACTTACAACATGTTATAAATACTATACTTCAGTTTGCTAGAGATGGAGTACCATTTGATTTTAAAAAACTTAGCGACCCATTATTCAAACTGTTAGCGCTTTACATAATGCAGGTAAAATGTTAGCTGAATATTTTAGTTTAAAACTAGTCATTAACAATCTTTTTTCTAGGGCCTGTCAACATTTATATGTATAAGCATGCTGTCAAAAGTTGGAGAAAATGTTGCTATACGTATGAAATATAATCTTTTTTCATCTATACTTCAACAGGAGCTAGAATTTTTTGATAAAACTCGTACAGGAGATATTTTGCAAAGGTAAATTAAACTAGGTACTTGATGAAAATAATTACATAGTATGTTGAATTTAAACATTTTTTGTTTACCGATAAAAAAAAACCAAAACATTTTTTGCACAGTGGATAAGTTACTGTATTAAATTGGTAAGAGAATTCATGATAGGATTGTATTATTATTGTACATTTTGAATTTTTTAAGATATTTTGAACTCTATCTTAATATTTATGGTAAACAGATTTTGTATTTATTATTAATTCTAGACTAGTATTATAGGTAAATGTTTTAAATGTTTTAAATATTTTTTCATAGGTTAACAACTGATGTACAAGATTTTAAAAGTTCATTTAAACTTGTAATAATACAAGGTCTTAAAAATGCTACACAAGTACGTAGGTTAGAAACAAGTTTCTTTCAAAATTTTTTTTTTTATGTTTTTGTTATATAGTCAATATATTTTTGGATATTAATTATTATTGTTTGTAATTTAGTTAATTGGTGGAGTATATGCTCTATACAACACATCACCAGAAATGACTGGAGCTGTAGCTATTATTTTACCAACTATTATTGTTATAGGCACATTTCTTGGCTCTATTTTGAGAAAACTTAGCAAACTGGCTCAAGAACAAGTATTTATATTTAATTAAAACTAATTTATACAATATGTATATAATGTTTATTTATTATGTACGCAGGGTACTAAATCAACAATTATAGCTGAAGAAGTGATTGGAAATATGAGAACTGTTCGTGCCTTTGCATCTGAATCTACAGAATGTGAAAGATTTTTGACAGAAATTGAAAATAACGGATTATTGCATAGGAAGTTAGGTTATGGTATTGGGCTCTTTCAAGTATGTACATCTATTTAATAAACTCTTAAAACATTTAAAACTGTTGTTTAAAAATACTATTTTTATTTTTAGGCTAGTAGTAATGTGTTCCTAAATGGCATTGTTTTGGGAACAATATTCCTCGGTGGACAACTTATGACGACCAGCAGTCTTGATCCTGGACAGCTTATGTCTTTTCTCATGGTTACCCAAATGCTTCAACATTCTTTAGGACAATTTTCATTATTATTTGGTCATTATGTAAAAGGTGTTGCTGCAGGGTCCAGAATATTTGAAGTAAACTATAGATATTTTTAATTTTTTTGCTATTAAACGTAATAAACTGTACTCTATTCAGGATAAAAATGCCCACTCAATTGGCAAAAACCTGTAGTGTCCACGCATGTCTATTGCCACAATATACACTCTTAGCACCACTGTTCATTAGCCCACCAACAACCAGCGCCCCTGAATCTTGAAAAACAATCAATCTTGCTCAGTATGCTTGCCCAAATTTAGGCATTATTAAACTAAATAGAGTATAATTATCAGTTGAAATTTTTATAACTATGAATATTATTTTTATTTTTCAAACTCTGAATTCATTGTATGTATTTTAATTTTTCAGTATATTAACAAGAGTCCTAAAACACTGATTAACGAGGGCATTCAGATTCCACATCATTCTTTTAAACCAGAAATTGAATTTAAAGATATTACATTTTCATATCCAACCAGACTGAACACGTAATGTTGACATTGTTGTAAACAGAATATGAATATTAATATTTTGACATGAATAGGGTCACTATTTAAATTTTAAATGTATTGAAAGTTAGAGAATAAAAATACATGATTTATAGCTGGGGTGGCCACTAATCTTAATTTTGTGAGTCATACATTTATGAAGCTAATTCGAAGCGAGCCAAATGTTAGAGATTGAAGACACATTTTTAATTTTATAACAAATTAAGAAATATTTATTTAACATTTATTATTATTTATTTAATTTATTTATAGAAATACCTTAGAGACCTCGTTTGGCCACTCCTGTTTATAGGATTTGATCCATCACTTTGAACACTAAACACGATCATGAGCACCCAGGTGCAAATAGCACACATTTTTTGAGGGTCTAAGTCTTTCCATAGTATTATCTAAAAATGATTGCATAGTATCTAAGAACTAACTTTTTAATTAAGGGACAAGTCCACCCCAGCCCTATCCCCTTCATTTGTGCCAATGGAGCTACCTCATTCTTATTATCTCAACTTCAATACACTCGTATCTCAAGGCACAGTTAAATTTAGAAGATAACTTATATTGTTTAAATATAATTTTATAGGTTATATTAAAAGATTTCAATCTTACTCTTCCTCCTGGTAAAGTGGTAGCTGTTGTTGGATCTTCTGGCAATGGTAAATCCACTATTGCTGCGCTTCTCATGAGGTACATAATTTTGTTGTTTTTAATTTTTTAATTTGAATGAATTATCACTATTTTTTCCTGTATTGTTCATAGATTTTATGATGTTAATTCAGGAAGTATAATAATAGATGGTGTAGACATTAAGAAGCTTGATCAGACTTGGTTGCGTAAGAGAGTAATTGGATTAATTAATCAAGAACCAATACTGTTTGCTATGTCTATCTTAGAAAACATACGTTATGGAAAGCCTGAGGCAACAGACATTGAGGTGAAAAAAAAATATTGATTGAGTTGACTATTAAAGTCTTAATTGCAATTTGAAAAATTATAGGTTATTGAAGCTGCAAAAATAGCCAATGCTGATTCTTTTATCACTTCTTTTCCCAATGGCTATAATACAATAGTTGGAGAACGAGGAGTAACAGTTTCGGGAGGACAAAAACAAAGAATTGCCATTGCAAGAGCTATTTTGAAAAACCCAGCAATACTTATATTAGATGAAGCCACAAGGTCTGTTAAGACGACGTAACACTGGTATTTGTTGTTTCCGTCTTACCAGTGCGTAACATAGCAAATTTACGTTCAGCAGAACACTCATAGCTTCGTTAGTTTAAACGTTAGAGTGAATTGACTCATTATGAAACTTGATGGTAAGAACATTATCTGTGTTTGTACGTTGGTTTTTTTACGATAATTCAGTTTTTAAGTGACATGAGCATTTTAATTTACGGTATATTATATACACATAACTTGCTAAAAAATTGAACCATCGTAAAAACCAACATACAACCATAGATAATATTCTTACCATCAAGTTTCATAATAGGTCAATTCACTCTAATTTTTAAGCTAACGAAGCTACAGTGTTCTGCTGAGCGTAAATTTGCTATGTTATGTTCTTGTAAGACAGACACAACAAATACCAGTGTTACGTCCTCTTAAAATAGTAGTTCTCTATTTATGTATGTTATATAAATATGAAATGTAAAATTCACAAACTTTTAGTCTAGTCAAAATGAGATTGGTCTTCTCTGTCAATCATTTTGTAATGGTCAGGCCGCACTGGTTAGGGTCTGCTTTATTGCTTGGCAATACTATACATTTTATATTTAAACTTGTGTAATTCGACATATAATTAAAATATGCTCCCATTGATAGTGGAAAATGCTCCATATCCATATGTGATTGTATGGTCATAACATCAGCCAATGCATAATATGTGCTATCAAAGATCAACCTGATTTTGAACAGATTAACTTACTAAGAGTACTTTTAATCATATTAGGTAACTATTAATTACCGATTTCAACACAAAACTAACTACGGGTTAAAAAAGTAATAAGTATTATTAGTATAAATATAAATCTAAATAAAAATGATAAAAATGAATTATACAATATTTTTATTTACTAGTGATATTAAAAGAGTTTCCTATTAAACTTTAAACTTTCCTATTATTAATGCTCTTGGTTAAATGTTATGAATTTGAAACTTCATTTTTATATTTTATATTATTAGAGTAGTAGTCCTAACCTACTATAATATGTCAAAACAAATACATTATAATTATGACAAATATTTATATTTTTACTTATAGTGCACTTGATACAGAGTCGGAAATGCATGTGCAATCAGCATTAGAATCTGTATCAAATGGAAAAAACAGTTTAGTAATTGCTCATCGATTGAGCACTGTAAAGAATGCAGATATAATTGTAGTTTTGAATAAAGGTGAAATTGTTGAAGTAAGTAGTTAAAATATTACTTAAAATTCATAAATATGGCAAATTAATTTAATGATAATCCGTTAATTACATAAAATTAAATTTTATTTGTTGCTGAAACAAATGCAGTTACTAATTTAATGACTAAGCTTTAATTTTTATTAATTTTCTATTAAACTTTATTATATAATTTAAAGATATAACCAATTATAACCCCATATTTTATGTTGAGTAATATATATTTGATAAAAACTTATATTTATCAAAAAGTTATTATAAATAAAAATCGGTACTGGTTTAGTTGACATTCATACAGAAAGTATTAACTTGTGACTCAGATTTTGTTAACACCCGCCACTTAATTGTCTCATATTTTTGATGTTCTTATCATATATTTTAATTTTTTACGTGTTAGGTGTATATTGCAACAGTAATATGGTATAACATAGGTAGACATTTAATTTAAAACGGATAAAACTAAAATTAAAATAAAGGCTCAACCTACATAATTTTTCATCATGTATTATTAAATTTATACTATGTGTGTACCACAGGTAAAAGAAGTGCAAAATACTTGAATCATGGTTGTTTAGTATAATTTATGCTATATACATTTGATACTCATATTTGGTTAATTCCTTGTATTTTACTTGATGATTGCTATATAGTATATAATATAGGTTATTTCAGTATTTTTTGATTGCAAAATCACCAATAAGAAGAAGACTTAAAAAAATATTCTAAACATAAGTCAATTTTCAGCACAATTAAGTGTTACTATTTAATTCTAGAGCTTGATTATATGAAGATTATTAGACGAATCCAAAATTATATTTCATACAGATGTTTACACTTTTAATAATTCAATTTTCTAAAAAAAAAGCTAAATACTTAGTTTTTCTGTATTGTATTTATATTTTATTATTTTAAGCTTATTAACTTAGCTTATTCCTTTATAAATAAATGTTTTTGTTAAACTAATTAATAATAATATTCATATTTTTAGGTTGGGGACCATAATACCTTATTGCAAAAGAAAGGTTTTTATTGGAATCTGATGAATCAGCAGACATCTGACAAAGCAAATGCTGCATAAATTGTATACACATCAAAGCGAAACTATTGAAAAGAAACTTTGTTTAGGTAATATTGTTAGTTAGTAATGGTTGCTCTAAATATTTTAGTACATTTATTTTGAATTAATTTTATTAACCTAAATTTGTTATAGTGTTATACAACTTGAAGTACATAGAATCTCAAATTATAAATATAGCATAGTAAATAGCTTAAAAGGAACTGTTATCAGAGGCTGTTTGATTGTATAATTTTAATATTCAATAAAGTAATCAATGATAATTGTAGTTAAAAATCATTAAATTATCAGTTAATAGTTACTTTTATAACACTTAACTACTGAAAAGATTTGGTGGATGTTCCTTACATCGATAATTATAATACTTTCAAACCGTCTCTGTTTATTATTTCCTATAAATCGTTGTTTATAATTTTAAGCACTGTTCTACTTTTTAAAGAAACAAACAAAAGTTATAATTTATGTAAAATGTCAATTATTTTAAAATTAGTTGACAATCTATTACATAAATATATTTACTGTGTATCACTCTACCATTCTATGAACTTGTGGTCGGTCATAGAGTTATATTGAAATTTGAAGACGGCAGTGTGTCTAAAATTGGGCCAGTCTGCCCCTGCTTGCCTTACACGTAGGGTTGTGGATTCAATCCTAGTTCCCACATTGCATACTTTTAACTTCTAATTTTCTATACAAGTCTATGACCAATCACTGCAGGTTTGTAACCAGTGCCGTGAACAGGACTTTTATGGGGGGGGGGTTATTATAATAATACCATGTTATAGTAAATTAAGAAAAAATAACACAGTATTTATATTTTGATAATCTTTATAATAATCTAAATTATAATATTAGATCTATTTGTCTCCACTTTTTTGATAATTTGTCCAGTATTTCTTCCGCTGTAATTTCAATATGCCAATAATAACTTAAAGCACTAATACATTTAAACAATCCTATTTAGAGTAGAGCTTAATTAAAAAAATTTAAATGAATATAAATAATTATAATATACTTCTTTTATGCTATTTCTGAGATAGGTCTTTACTCTTTTTAAACTTGAAAAAGTTCTTTCCGACGTGGCAGTATGCTCAACATTTTTAAGAAAATAAATACATTTGAAAAAATTATAATTTCACAATGCCTAATAGCATCTAATGCATTTGATTTCAACACTTCATCAGTACCAACTGCTACACACTTGCCCTTTTGTTTCCAAATTTGTAGTTCACAGATTGTCGTAGTAATATCAATTTTTTTTAGATAAAAACATACCAGAGTCTCAAAATGTGTATCATCGGAATTTGTGTCATCAGTTACATCAGTACAAAACAGTTACGGTGAAGGTGACCTAACCTAACCTTTAGACCAGTGGTGGCTAAACTTTTTTTACCTCTTGTCATAAAAAAAAACATTTTTTACCGCGGGCCATAAAAAATCCCATTGAATTTTAAAAACACGACATTCCGAGTCGATTTCCCGTTTTTTTTTTTCCGTAAATATAAAATATAGTTCTTTCGCGGGCCAGATATTAAATGTTGGCGGGCCGTAGTTTGGCCACCACTGCTTTAGATGATACACAAAATGCCTTACCAACTATTATTGATAAAATTTTTAAAAAAATATAAAATAAATTAGTAGTTTTAATCCCCCCTCCCATGTATACGGCCCTGTTTGTAACCATATCACACACTCAATTATTTTTATATTACCTAAATTGATTGCACTACTGTTAATGATTTAAAACTTGCTGCCTTTTCTTATTGTAGGTAGGAAATATTGTTAATTATAAAACCAATGATCTAATTGAAAAGGTAAAAGTTAAAAGTTAATAATAAATAATATTTTTAATTGTTTATTTACTTATTTTTTATTACTGTCTTATTAGTTATTAGTTATTAGGTACTTAAAATTGTATTAAACTGATTTTGTTTTACAAATTTTTTATTTATTGTTAAATAATTGTGGTGTACTATTTGGGTACAATGGTTGATAAATGCATAAAAAAAATGCAATCAACAATGTCATAGGTACCTACTTTATAGCAAATCAATATATTAATATAATATTGTTAATTTAATATATAAATTATATATTTTTGTTAATAAATCTTACAACTTATACAGCATTTTTTTTACAATAGAAACCTACCTGCAGAAGTTCTGTAATGTATCATAGGTATATAAAATAATTTGACGTGAACAATTAATATTAAAATATCATAATTCATAGTAATACCTATGTTTTGTTTTACAAAATTATTTGTCAATGAAATTATTTGTTGATGTTAGTTGTATTTTTGTACTGATAAGCATAATACCTATAGGTATTCCATATTCATGTGATGTGGTGTGAAGAAGTTTTTTCAAAGAACTGTGAACTTTGTTACGGTCACGATGAGACAGCATTAAATTAAGAATATTATTCAGTATTCTCATCAAATTAAACAGCGATTTTTTCATTTTCAACAATTAAAATATTATTTATACCTATATATTTAGATAACATATTATAATATAGCGTATATTATGTTTAATGTTATTTGCATTTAAATGTTACTATTGCAGTATGAAAATGGGTAGGTATAGGTAGGTATTGTAAATTCATAATATTGAAGTCATTTTCAGTCGTAATATTTATTTTTTATTTAAAAAACGACATAATGAATTCAGACTAACATTAACAAATATGAAAAGTTGTGACAGTACAAAACATTAACAAGTAGTATACATATATTATAATATATAAAACAAAGTATTCAATTATTACGAACATCTAATTAATACAGTTCCGTGCGACATGACGCAAATCGAGGATAGTGATCGATTCAATACTTCTTGTATTCGCTGCTGCCTGAATAGCTTGATGACGGTGGTCCATACGAGGAACTGATGCCCGATGACGAGCTGTATCCGCTACCGGACTGGACACCGGAGTAATCGGACGAACTCAGGGAAGCCGAAGAGTATGATTGAGCTGGTGCGCTATAAGACGACGACGAGTATGATGGAGCGGGTGCGCTGTAAGACGCGGACGAGTAAGATGGTGCGGGTGCGCTGTACGAAGCTGAAGAGTAAGATGGTGCGGGTGCGCTATACGAAGCTGAAGAGTAAGATGGTGCGGCTGCGCTGTACGAAGCGGAAGAGTAAGATGGTGCGGCGGCGCTGTACGATGCTGAAGCGTAAGAGGGTGCGTAAGATTCCGACGCGTAAGCTGGTGCGGATGCGTAGCTGATGGCTGGGGCTGGAGCAGCGACGGCATACGAGACTGGGGCTGGAGCAGCGACGGCATATGAGACAGGAGCTGGAGCGACGACTGGGGTCGGGACGGAGTATGGGACAGGTTGTTGGATTTCTACTGGGTACGGCTGTGGCACTGGGTATGGCACTGGTCGGCTAACGGAGACTGGAACTGGGTGGGGCACACTGACTGGGACAGCCCTGGGAACATCGACTGGGTATGGCCTGTTCACAGTGACGGGCACTGGGTGAGGTACGCTGACTGGGACGGCTCTGGGTACGGACACCGGCACGGGTTGTGCGACTGGTACGGGCACGTGACGGGTCACTGGAACGGCATATGGCTGTGGTACGGATACGGACACTATCTGGTTGGAAGTGCTGACTCTAGTTGGAACGGCAGACGCAGCTGAGATACCATAACCGTAAGACGGGGCAGCTATTCCATAACCGGAAGAGGCGGCGTAACCAAGACCAATCGGGGCGGAATAACCATGACCAGCCAAGGAAGAGTATCCGAGTCCAGCGGAGGAAGCATACCCGAGTCCAGCTGAGGAAGCGTACCCGAGACCGATGGGGGCGGAGTAACCGTGACCAGCGAAGGAAGAGTATCCGAGACTAGCCGGGGCGGCGTATCCGTAACTTGAGGGAGCGGCATATGCGTGGCTGATGGGGGTGGAATATCCGTGACTGATGGGGGCGGAATATCCGTGACTGATGGGGGCGGCGAGGCCGATGCCTGGTGAGTATGAAGGCAGGCCGGAGCCGTATCCGTATGATGACGAGCTGGAGTATCCCGACAGGCCGGAGAGTCCGTACGATGATCCTGAAAGGCCTAAGCTTCTCTTGTTGGTCTGTTTGTTATCGGTCTTTGCATCCTCAGCGGCGACACAGTGAGCTATTAAAGCCAAACCGACAACACAAGCCTGGAAAAAAATTGTTTTAAATTAATTTATATGGTTGATAGCGATGATTCACAAAAACCAAACGTATTACGAATCGATATCAAAAACAAATTATATTAAACTAGGTATCAACTGCCGAATATTTGTAATTATTTGTAAAAGTAATATGATTCTGTTTTACTAAGTAATTTTGCTCGGTGCACAACTTACCTTGAAGAATTTCATGATGATGGTTATGATGGTATCGGTATGATTGCCACTGATACAACTGATGCCAAACACTGGCTCGCTGGGGTTTTTATAATCCTGCCAAGATACCGGTATTGTTTTTTTTTTGCTTCACACTCCCCTCTGACTTAGTTATCGACCGTAATCATCCAAATGACACTTTCTCCGAGACAAGAATTTACGCACTCATAGTTACGTCACGGCGGGGTGGTCAGTTTAGAACAGGACCAGTTTTCGCGTTTATAGTCATCGCATCTCGAAGATGTCACCCGGCTGTATCCGAAATTGTGTAACCGATTTATTTCAATGGAGATATTCGTACTAAAAACCCACCTTCATATTATACATATATCTGTCGGACGAGTTTGGCAACAATTTCACATTTTTTTTTCAAAGATAAATCGGAAATCCGTTTATGTTTAAATTAATTTAACTTGAATATGAAATTACTATGTTCACTGTTCAGACGTTTTAATGTTTTAAGCTGAGTAAAACATAATATGTTATTATTGATGCAATATATACCACGTGTATTCATCAATGACTTTAGAAATAACTAAATTCGAATCAGCTATACAAAGATTTTAGTTTAAATTTTAACAATACCAAATGGTGAATTCGTGTGTATATATATTATATAGGTAGGTAGGTGATACTTATGAAATGTAAAGTTAAATAAGTACTCGTTCCTCAGGACGTATTTAAATTTTTGGAAATATTTTTTTACTTCATTTTAATTTAATATTAATATATTACAAACAACATATAAAAAAAAGATTATATTTTTTGAATGAAAACATACATTATTAATTATATATTCCCAGGAATATTTCTCTTAGAATATCAATAAGAATATTATAACGATTCTATTTCTGAAGAGTAGTTAATTAGTTAGAAATTTGATATTTATGTTACCTATTGATATTGATATTCCCAGAAAAAATTGTCTGCTTTTTAATATGAAATTAAAAATGTATACTGTCAAAGTAAAAACTTAAAGAATTATAACGATAAAAATAGTAAAAATATGATTTTTTCTTAAATTACGTTTTGAGTTAACTAAACTACCTAAAAAATATACTTGAGAAATTAGTGTTGAGCTTAAAAAGAATCACTCTGTATATACTAAATTAGAAAATTATAATATTTTTTTGACCTTGTATTCGCTATACATAAACAGAAATTAAACTAAATTATATTATTTATCATTGAATAAAAAAATAGTTTTAATTTGTTCATAATATTATATAAACTAAAATTGAATGTTAATTGAAACAAAATGTTCTTTAGAATGCTTTTGAGGTTGACTAGCATATTTTAAAGCTTATTTTATACAATTATTATAAATTTTAATATACCTATATAAAATGTAATAAATAACTCACTGACTCCTTTAACTTTTTTATGATATGTAATATATTAATAATATGTATCACCTATAATAACACTTCAAATAAATGTACACAGTTAGTACTACGTACAGCGTACGTTTAATCAATATTCAGTGTTATAGATATAATATGAAATATGATATATATATATGTATAGGTATATCTGATAGTACCTACCTACATAGTTGAAAGATTAATCTACAGTATATCTTAAAATTAATTTATTTTATAGCAATAAAATCAAACAGAAAGTTCTGTAATTAAAATAACACATTCCAAATAGGTACCTACTTCTAAGTTGAACCTATTAAATATTAAGTCCTTATAGATAAAAATATAAATAGCCGATCGGAAGGAATATATTATAATTTATAATTTAATATTTTAATATCGTAGATACTTGATTATTTAACATTTTTGTAAACACGAAAATAAAATAAAAATGTCTTGAGTAGGTACCTATGTATATTATATATATCATAATTTATATAATACCTACGACATCTACTCATCTCATATACCTCACTATATATAGATATAACTATCAGACTTGGGTAGTAGGTATTCCGAATACTTATTAAATACTTTTTTGTGAAAGTATTGAATACGGTATTTTGAATACTTTTTACGAGTATTCGGAGTTAAGTATTCGGAATACTTATTTTCTTATATAGGTGTACTTTAATATATTACTAATTATTAGGTACTTATTAACTTTATTAATTTTAATATAATTTATAACTAATAGATAGCCAGATAGGTGTGTATTATCGAGATTATAATAATGTTCATTTATAAACATAGAATTAAAAAAATAATATTTTTGCTATTTAAATCTAAATCTACTAAAAAAAAGTATTTGAAAAATATTTGGAATACTTTTTGTGAAGTATTCGGAAAATGTTTTTGAAATACTTTTAAAAAGTATTTTACCCAAGTCTGACTGTTATAATGTTAGTATCTATGTTATAGTTACTAACTATATAAGAACATATTATAAATTATAATATAGGTACCTAGTCTACAAATAATTGTCAATGAACTAGGTAGGAACGTTAAATATAAAATTGTCACACAAGACGTCAATATGCAGGTACTTATACCTATGCAACTTGTAAAAATTGAAATACAAGTTCAAATTTATTCTACTGTATAAATTGTAATATTTTCCTAATTATTAATAATTATGGTACAATAATGCATAAACTTAATTTTAAGTATATTCACCAAATATATTGACGGATAAATTATTACTAGGTACATACTACATATTATACGGTTTTAAAACAAGCATTTTATATACCTATATTTGAACTTAGTTTGTAGGTACATATATGTGCACTGTGCAGGTACCTCTTATGTATAAACAAAAATTGATATCATCATAGTTCCTAATTAAATTATTTGAATCGATATTATTGTTATTACTTATTAGTAGGCATAATATATTAATATATTATTATTTTATTAACTACACATAATATATATCTTAATAGTCGACGATTTCTATATAGCGTTGCGTACCTACCTATATGACTCCTATTGTTGAAACAATCAAGTTCTAGTGATTCCAGTTGGAAAGATACAAGTGGGTACAAACAGCAAAAGTATATTGTAATTTGTATTTCCTGTCTGTTGACTTAACATAAAATAATATTTCATAAAAACTAGAGAGTGGACTCGTATACACTGATACGACTTGATTATGCCAACGTGATATAATAATATACATGCACAGCTATTTACAAATATGTAGCAAAATTGACACAAGTTCAACAGATATAATTAAATATTAAAAATTAAAAATTAAATATGACTTTTACTCAATGGTTATCAGTTATCACTTATCATGATATATGATTTCTATAGGATGTAATACTGTAATAAGTAACAATGTACCTATCATTCATCTCGAATCAGTGATTTAAATGTTGGTGAAATGCATTACTAAAAAATATGAAATTACTTTATAATAAATTATCAATTGAATATAGGTGTACTGGTAGGTTTATATAGAATTTAACAAGCAACACGGGAACTTAAAATGTTGTCTTTTTTCTTTAACATTTTGACTTTCCTAGTTATTATTCCTTTTTGTTTCATACTCGAAGTTAAATAAACAAAATAATATTCAGTAAAAGATGTAATATTCCAATTAATATTTTTATCGAATATTTTAACAGTTTTTATTTTTTTCAATTCTACACTTTTACCTACCCTAATATATTATAGGTACATATACTGTATACCTATTACCTACAGACAAAATATAAATACCAACAGATTTATATACATTATAATTTATATTATATATTATATATATATTATACCTATATAAAAACTAAGCTAACACAAACAATATTTTATCGTAACAAATAAACTTATTAGATTCTGAGTGGAGCGATGAATGTATTAATTTATTATGTATTTGTGTGTGTTTTTTTTCATCACCTTGGAGCAGTAAAAATTATTCAATTTTTAACTTTGGTTTTTTTTGATAGAAAATCTGATCTAGTTTTTATTTTTGAGGATTCGAAAGTAAAACATTTCCAGTATCTACTTTTCTTAAAAACAAAACAAATTTAAGGTAAAATCTGGTATTTAACAAAATCGATATTATTTTTATTGTTATAATTAAAACCAAATTTTTAAATATTTAATGGCTTCACCAAGTGTATTTATTTTAAATACATGGTAAAATGTTCTAAATATTTTGACTATTGTAGAGCTATTTATACACTATTTTAAAATTTAAAAATTTTAGTTTTTTTTAATGTTAATATAAAATTGTTTGTCAAAATCACGAAAATTTGCAAATAATTTGGTAGTTAAAAATGAATAACATTTTAAATTTTCATAAGTAGGTATCTAAAGATTGAAAATGTAAAACAAATTTTTTCATAGATAGATCATATTGTAACCAAAAAAATCTAAAAAAATACTCATAACTTTTTTTTTTTATAGATGTTTTAAATATTGGACTTACTTAATTAGATATTTTAAAGAAAAATAACGATAATCTATTGCGTTACTAATATCATTAGTATATTTGTACAATATAGGTAGCTAATAGTAAAATAAATTACTTTTATAGCAATATAAATATATCATATACAATTATAAACTTAGTATGTAATATTTGTTATAACCAATATGCTGCAGATTGGCCGTCTTCGTTCAGAATTCGAATACAGTGACTTACTTCTCAATTATGAGGTACACTCGACACCTACTAACTGTATAGCAAAGCGATTACCTACTTTCCCCCATTTTAAAATTTAATATATATATATATGTTTTAATTTTAAGGTTGGTAGGTAGGTATAGCTAGGTTGTTTTTACTTTTCTTCCAATACCTGAAAGCTGTTATCTACCATGTTCGATGAATGTATATAAAGTGCCTACTTAGCGTACTTAATATATTTTAATATTTTTTTAATTGGACGCGTATAATCCCGCGGGCATTCAAGCTGTTTAGGCGTATTTTGGCTAATATTATTCCTAAACTGGTAGAACACGCAAAACTTATAAATATACCTATACTTAGTCCATAATATGCCACCATTTCCTCATTAAGAACACCGAGTGAAATAGAGTTAGTAACAA